TGGTTTGTCTCTGTGTAATCCTTAGTTGCTCCCCGTGTCCAGTCAGTGTCTGCCCTGGTCCCACGTCTCTGTTCCCTCTGTTACAGTGCGTGCGAGTCTGTGTCTTTAGTTCAGTCTGTGTTATGTGTTTCCTGTTTTACTTTGAAAGTCCATGTCTGATGTTAATGTGTCTGGTTTTGCTTCCCCTTGTCTCGTTAGGCCTGATTTGCCCCAGCTGTGTTTCCCTCCTGTTACCCATTCCCTGATTGCTCCCTCTGTGTATTTAAGCCCTGTGTTTCTCTGTGTCGCGATCTACCGTTTATCTAGCTGTGTGTTCTGTCAGTCTTCCGGTGTAAGTTTATTTTGATATGTCCAGTTATTTTACATTTGAGTTTAACATTAAAGCTGTTTTGAGTTCAAGTTTTGCCTCCGAGTGTCTGCACCTTGGGTCCTATTCCTGCCTGCACACAGCCGGTCATAACAGATTTAACAGTCTAGCAGCTCGATGTTTTTAGGGATTTCAGTTGCTTGAAGAAATTTCCTGAAATGTTAATATGATTAAGAAAATAACCCTAAATATTTCCTTTTTCTTTTAGCAATTGTGTATTTTTCTTAGTCTTAACACTAGCACAGACTGAAGGGCAAGTCCAAACATACACTGGCAAGAGATGCCCAGAAGTCACTCGTTTTGGCATTCTTGAAATAGAAGTCTTTCAAATATTTCTGTTGAAAGAGAAAAAGACTTGATTACTCAGCTGCTGGGAGATTTGAAATTATAATTAATGTTAATCAAAAGAGCAACATCAATTTTTTAAATACTAAAAGAGCTGTGAGTCTATGACTTACTCGACAACCATCTCTGAACTCGTCTCTGCCCATCCAGTCCTCCAGCATCCTGAGAATAGATGCTCCCTGGAAAAAAGTTGAACAATTTTCATTACAAGGTAAATGGACTGTGTTAAATCCTCCCAATTCTTTTGATCTTTGGGCTGAAGGAAGAACAATACTCGGTGTATAAATGCTCAATCAACAATCCTTTATTCCATACAATTCAACACTTTGAGCACAAACCATCCGGATGGGGAGACATGCATGCAGAGGGGCACAGCAAATCTCAAAATGGTGGAGCGTTACCCAAAGCTTTTATAGCCTCTGTTGACCCCCACCTAGTCGTAAAAAGCCTAAACTTACATACCCTCTAACTCTCAGTGAGCCTGTTTATGACCTTGGCTCCCTGTCTTATCTGCTCCAAGAAGGGGGTGAAGCTCCTGTGGAATGTGTTTGTGCTCTCTGCACACAATATTCTCTTCTTAACTCAGCAGTATGAAATGTCATGAAACAGTGTAACTCATTCACAGTAAATCAACAGTATAGGATAATACAAACCTATCTAATAATCTAATGATTTTCACATTCTTTTTAATTCAGAAATATAATGCAAACTAGAACTACAGCTACATACTATTATACTCTCTATAATAAGAGTATGTGTGGCTTACAGCAGTATAATGATTCACTCATTTCGATTACAGGCATAGGATAACATAGATAGAATAATAATCTCACATGGTATCCATAGAGCAATTTTAATGTATTGTTGACAACTCACAGGACTTTTATAGTGCAATCTACATCCACCCATTCAAATATAATATCCAGTATTTATTCTGTTCATCTTAAGTGCTTAATCTGTCACACACAGTCACGAGTGATACATGTTGGATCTTGTTTGCATGTAGTGTAACAGTATGGTTAACTTTTATTGTCTGAGTGCTTACAGAGAGATCTCATACCTTGCTGTATGAGATGGCATCAAACACAGAGGTGATTTCAGCTGGGGTTGACACATCTACAATGATCGGATGAGAGGACAGCAGAGCGTCATCCACCATGACAGGAAGCACATCACTGATGATCATGATGTCTCGCTGTAAGACCACAGCAACACAGGTAGAACTTCCAGGTGACTGGCAGTAATAGCTCGGTGGATCTTTAATGTGCCTTTAAAGGAGAACTCACCATGCCCCAGGTTGGTTCTGCTAATTCCACTCCGATGTACTCAAAGAAGCTGGCAAAGCCCTCATTGAGCCACAGGTCATCCCACCAATCCATAGTTACAATATTTCCAAACCACTGAAAAAATACAACTGACATGAGTTTCAAGAGTCCACACAAAATAAGAAATTGCAAAAGCACACAAAACAAATACGGAAATAGGAAAAACGAATTTCCATTTTCTTTTTTCCTATTTCTGTTGTGTTTTGTGTGCTTTTGCAGCGTTTTTCTTATTGCTGGTGTTTTCTTAAGTCTCAGTCTGTTTGGCCTCTCAGGGCCACCATAAACTCTCTCTACATTGTTATAAGTGTGCCACAAAACCAACCAATCACAGACTAGGATGCAAAAATTCTGATTGGCTGTTACGGCTACAGCTGTAGCTAAATCCAGTGGAGTGGTTTGGTTTAAACTGTGGTGGACCACTGGAGGGCTCCACTTCCCCAGTGGACAGGAAATGGTTGCTGTGTTTTGGAGCGCAAAGTATTCAGTTGTGTGGTGATAGTGAATAAACCAGGAGTGATAATTGAGAGATCTCATGTCGTCTGTGTTTATCTCCACAAAACTAGATTAAAACCAACACTGGTCTTAAAAAATAATATATTTCAAAATAAAATAATTAAACATACTAACTGCAGTAGCAGTAGGAATGCAGTAGCTAGCGAGTTGATTGGAGACCGTAACAGCCACTCAGAATTTTTGCATCCAAGTCTGTGATTGGTTGTTTTTGTGGCACACTTATAACGGTGTACAGAGAGTTGAGCGTGCAGGGAGCAGAGATGCTGAGAGCAGGTCTGTAGATGTCTGTGAGCACACAGAGCAAATGCCAACAACTGAGCGAGACGGGCTGTTACTGTGTGTGCATATGGATGATAGCAAACACTGAAATACATTTCTTGTTCGCAGAAATGAATTTTGTTCGCTCAAATTAAACTTTTCTTCACTCAAAATAATTTTCTCTAAAATGCAACATTTGGCCTTGCATTTTTTTAACGTGGCTCAGAATAGAGGCACAAAAATAACGCCATAAGCTCTCCTG